TGACCTAAAGTTCATGAGCTCGATACCCGGTTGAAAAGCCCCATACTAAAGAAAAACAGTCATCTAGTTCTTTCTGGTGCTTAGTGCTCATTTAACTAAGATCAGTCCCTGTTTTTAGTAATAAAATAAACGGTAATCAAGTTATCATATTTGACTAACTTAAGAGTAAATTCTTAATGTTCTAGCGTAACATACTGATTAATGAACTTCAACACTGTTCAGACTGATCAAAATATTATCGATAATGATGAAACATCACTACTCTATCTCTTAAACTGACTGGAGTTCGATATATAAGTCATCCAGTTTTAACTTTGATTACTACGAAACTTAAAGATTCTAGGTTCAATCCCTGTCTGGGTTATGGTTGCTAACTATTAAATTCTCTCAAACTAGGGCAAATAAGCTAACTAATATATGCTGGTTTCCAATGATTAGCTCATTTCAATGAGTCCATGATATGAACTATCTCAAAGTAGAGCGGGTCTTCAATATTATTTTTTTCTTGAGATAGGTAATCATTCATTTTGAATAAACTAATCTGAATGTAATAAAAGTCTTATGACCTGATTCATTCCTCTCATTTCTTTTTTTTAATAAAAAAACGGTTTAATTATTTTTATTAGAAGGGGTTTTGTAGAGACTTTAGAAATTTCACTGATTGAAATCATGAGTCAGTTGAAGTTGCCGAGGAGTCCCATACTAGGATGAAACGGCCGTCCAGTGCTTCCAGGTTTTCCATGGTGGTCTAGCTTCAATTGACTCATGATTTCAATCAGCTAATTATTTTTGTTAGTACAAACTTCACATAAAGCTGATTAGTGAACCATCAGAAATATTGGGTTTGAAGCTTCACGAGTTTACTTAATCTGCGAACGAGAACATGGCTCGGTGACCAAAGACCAGTAATCTAGCTACTGATGCGTTCCAGCCCTGCTACCTAGAAGGCGAAGTCCAAGCTTGATATTGTCATGGGAAATTTTTAAACATTAATCAATGAGTTCGTCAATTGACTGCCATTTAATCGATAAGTTAATCGATATAATAAAATTAAAAATATGAGTTTTGGGGATATATCGTCCCCAACAAGTAATATGTTTCTTCATTAAAACAATTTTCAAAGAATATAAGTAATATAAACATTAAAGCTGTATTTAATCTAAATCAATTTAACTGATATCTGAACTGTTTCCTATCGAAATGTACTGGTACTTTTGACAATTCTTAAATGAAAACATCATTGATGATAGAAAACAAGAAAGTAAAATATTCTAGAAGGCAAAAGTATCTAGATCTCTAGAAGTATGAATGAATTTTCTATCATAAAGATGAAAGAAAATAGTATTGATCAAAAGATGACATAGAATGATGATAGACAGTCTAGTGTTGAGTACTTTCTTAATCAAATTACGGACATAATTTCCCAAAATGTTTTAAGTCCCAAGAAAAGATCACCATGTAGCTTACAATACGATTATTTAAATCTTAAATGTTAAATAATATAATATCTCATTATATCAAAAATAAATCCTGTTGAATAAATGAACAGTTATTAATTAACAATAGGTAAATTACTTAATACTCAATGATAGTTTTTTAAACCCACCGTTTCATAGAATAATAAAACTTACTAGCTATAGAACTTGATACGACACTAGTAGACTTTTAGTAAGCCTCAATCTGATTCCACAAGTAATGAAAATGATAAATGATGCTACCGAAATACACATCCTATTTAACTCCGAACATATTCTTTTGGTTGATCATACAAAATTATAAGAAAAACCTGAATATGGTAATTTTCGATACAAATATTTCAGGCATGTGTAGCCAGAATACATAGTGAGAAATTAACACTTCAGCCGACATGACGGAATAAAGAGTGGACCAGTATTTACATGAGGGGAACATTCTATACTCTACTAAAGGTAATCAGAGTATAGATATCAGACATACTAGTTCAAATCATACAAAATACATTAATACACTTTACAACGTCACAAACAATAGAGATACATAGGCAGGTCACCCAACAGCTGACCGGAACAGAATGACACATTTAGTGGCCGAACAAAATAGGTCATATTAATCCGTGACAGCCATTGCTACAGACTCACTGTTTTATTTGTAACAGGTTACATTTGAAAAAAAGGGCACTAGAGTTAATGATCCTTCTTGATTACTTCTTCATTAAGCTCTACATACTCGAAATTGAAAATTTTAAACTCTGAGCTAAAAGGCTATCCTAACTTAGTGATACCATGAGCCTAGTGAAAATATGCATACGACTATCTGAATACATGGTCCAAGCTTCTTCAAGTTAAGATGGTAGACTATCAAAATAACGAACAATTCATTTTTGTATTGGTTATTTGAATCTTCACACTGATTTTTAGGACTGAAATTGATCAGTCACTTATTGGAATATGTGCGTCCTGTGCGGATTGCCTTGATATTGCCCTAAGTCACAAGCATTATAAGCAAACAAGAATAGTGAGTTGAGATGATGGCGGTTATCAGTGGAACCAAAAACGTGCGTTTCGTCTTACTTAGGACACACCAGCTGGATGTACCGAACAGGACGAAACGTGCGTACCGGATTCCACCACTAGCAAACATCCGTTTCTCCTTACAGTTGCAGTGTTGGTTACTATGTTAATCTCATATACCTTTTTCTAGCTTCTGGATAGGCCAGTATGTCCATTCTTCTTAAGTCACGTTTCGACCTTGTTAATCATTCACTTATTAACCCTGACTTTTTATATGAATGTATGTGTGTATATCTTATCCTACTCATCATATGTCTGTTGCCTATTTTTGTGTGCTATAATTATTGATTAACGCTTGACCAAATAAAGTTGGCTCACACACCTTCTCCACTGCGTGTCATTTCGCTCCATTCTCTTCTCTTCTCTTCGCTTTGTTCCTCTGATTGTCTGTCCAGATCAATGAGTGTACAAAATATATGTATTCAAAATCCATTCTCGTATTTAAGATATTCAATTCCGTTATTCACTAACGCGGATTAAGTTGATAATTATACACGAAAATTGGGGACATGTATATTTCAGTAGCAATCAGAAATGATCAAAATGGAGTTAGATTAAGGGCCACAAAACAAGAATGAATAGTTTTTATTTATCCCTTTACTATTAACACGGGTTAATAATACTTCACACCAGCCAAATCCACCCAATTGAACTGTTCCGCTATCTGTAAAAGTTAAGCAATCAAATACGTCACCTCATTATGTCAATACTTGTCAAAACAATTTAAGTGTTTTATCCACATATTATTAATTTAAACTTTTGGTGATGATCAAAAATATTTCAAGTTGGGAATTTCAAAAAGTTATGATAATCATTCTGGATCTATCAGGTTCCTTAATTTCATTAGACAGAATATAGATTAATAAAGGTAAGAAACAATTAAACTACATAACAAAACTAACTAATAGCGTAACAATCTTACACTTGTTTAACCTTAGGATGCATTGCTTGCTACTCATATCCAATTAAGTAATAAAACTCGCAAACCAAAAATAAATATGAAGTCCACCATAATCGAGTGTTTTCATGCTATTGGTTAGCACACACAGATTTATCACTACAATAATACTTTTGTAGTTATCAAACGAAACAAGGAGTTTATGCTGTGCCTTTATACTAAGAATAGCTCAATACTCATTATGAATAGCAATTCAGTATACAAACGTCCTGTGAACCAACAGGATTCATACTATACATATTGAGCAAGGCGAACAGAATCATTGCTTGGTCATGTAATATTGGATGCTATCCACATGAGAAACCGTGCCAACTTACGGCATACATGTGTATTTTGATCGACGGTATTCTTAGCTAACTTGTTGCTCGCTACTAGAAATCATGAATTAAATGGAGCAGGTAAGAACATGAAGACTATTAATAAAGATTAATCTGGCACCCAAAATAAATGAAAATGATATTTGAACACTGCGCCCTTCACATTAATCGGGTTTTAATAATTTCGCGACTAACCATAGATATGTAATATCATGATACTAACTGCCTGCAAACAGCAGATATTACTAATATGGTTAATGTTTGATCACATTTTTCAGAAGAGTGAGAAGAAAAATAAAGATTGTATGTCGCAGGCACTCCAATAAATCACGTTCTCGCACACCACACCATTGCATGTGATGGCTCACAGATCACAAAAATAGTTCATCCAGAGAAATTAAATTGTAGTTACGTCCTTAGGAATAAAACGGTTAACTCGCTCCAATTACATTCAAGTTCACACCATAAATATATCATCATATTTTTATTTTGTTCCAGTTAAATACATACATGATACTAAGTTTGGACCCATCAAATCAAGCTTTCTTCCGGCTTACTTCTACACTAGTCATCATACAACAACGAAGTAGACAATGGTTGTTAATATATTAGATACGTTCCAGCAATCCAATCGATGAACATTCAAGGCCTTATTAACTGATTCCCTTTTTTTACTTGGCACGCTTTATCAAACCTAACCTCTAGTCACTCGATTAGTCGAAAATACGTCAGAAATCCTTGAGGGACATTCAAACTTGAATAACGGCAACCAAAGAGTGTCTTTAAAGTCCTTAGACTACAATTTACAGCCGACAATACAAACCAACTGACCGCAGAGTATACTAGTTCTTCAAACGATAGATATTCTGCTTGTGACGCAAGTTTTTGAACCTCAAACGAGCTTTCTGATTGCAAGCTATGCGTTATAAAATCAGAATTTCCGACGGCACTGGAGGTGAAATTAAGTCAAGGTAGGTTTATTCCATAAAAGCGTAAACCTAAAACTGTCTTTAAAATCCCATATGGCTTTATTAAAACTAGCTCACGGCGCACGATCAAACAATTACACCAGATTTGGCGACCATCTGTCTATGATAAACGTGCGTTTTAACTCCTTACTAGTCACCTTAGTGATATCGACCTCGTTCAAATCCACATTCAATAGAATTGTCCCAATCAAGCTTATATACTTTTATTCTTTATCAGTGATATGTTCAGCAATTAAAATTTATCAATGCAGTAAATTGAGGAATACTTGATATTTTGTTGCATAAAGATCATCATAACCTGCAAATAATGTTAAACTACATATATAAAAACTGCACAGATATCTGAATTGGTAATGAACAAATATATACACACTTATCAACAAGTAAATTATTGAAAATGTCAAATATAAATCCTAAGGATAGAGTTTCTTTTACAAAAGAATAATGCGTTAAAAAAGACAAGGTTTGGTTAAAATTATACAACAAGTAAAAATGTGTTGACGTACAAATCAGCAAAAAAATTTCATAAAAAAGACTTTGACACTTGATCACTTGCAAATAATTTTATCTGGGACCATTACAATGACAGAAGTCAACACATTATGAATTCAGTGACACTAGTATCAAAACATCAAAACTTATATTTTTTGGTTCTGTGGGAAGGTATAGATATGAGGTGACATTGTACTCGCAGCTCCACTGAGGAAGTTGATTTCCTGTAGAACTTCTGGATCACCTTCGCCAACTAGTGCCAGCTTGATTTCTGAATAGTATGAATATCCAACTATCAAAAACCCGACCTAAAACAAGAAACACAATTAGTTTTCAGTCTTTGAAAGAAGTGTATTCTAATTGTAAAAAGAAGAGACTCCAGTTCTCAGACTGTTTTCATCTACTTGCGAATAAATGTAAACCGCCATTTTATCATCCTCGGTTTCAAGAGCGATATCAATCTCTACCTTATACGACCAGCAAACTATCCAACACCATAGCTGTAAAAAAAAATTAACGATAGCATATTATAATATAATGAAAATAAGTCTTAGTACACTGATTGGACAACGAAGCTTTGACAACGACCAACAGGACAATTTGACATAACGCAGAAGATGAAACGAACCTCAACTCACATAGAGAACGTAGCACACAATAAAATACATCACACTGAAGATCAAGTACGGTGCACGCTGAAAGTTCGTCTAAATATATGTATAGATGTACATACCCATGCAGCTAGTCCATACCAAGAGTACGTATAAACGCCAACTCCTAGATTAGCGATCTGGTAAAGAACCATGATTATGCACCAGGCTCGGAGATATGATTTCAAATGATAAAGTCTCTAAAGACATTACTAGAGTACAATTTTATATTACATATCTCGCTGGCCAAGAAATAGAAACAATCACAATTACGGACATTATCAAAAGAATCAAATTTGCAAAAAACATGAAAATATCACACAATATGAAGCCTAAAAATGTGACAGATAATTATAAAAATAGACCAAACCTTTCCAAAATCTAATACGCCAATATGTTGGGAACTGAGGATCAATAACGAAATCTGGAATTGCCCAAGTGACCAAATCTAGCACCACAAATACCCATGAAATAGCAGAACTAATCTAACGACATGCTATTGAAAAAAAATGTATATTTACTGCTGTAGTTATGGTTGAGATAAAGCAACCCAAACGATTGTCCAAACAAAAGCATCCACGAAGAGGGAATATTGGTGAAACACCATCCTTTCGTCTTATTAGCCACACCATATAGTCTTCAGTAGGTAAAATGAAAGTAATCAACAAGTGATTGAATACACGGAAATCCGTTCCATTTTAAATTTCTTCCTAAAATTTGTCAACAAAACCTGAAGTAAAATAACATTGTTCAGTATACAATTACTAATGGACCTATAATACATCAAGTTAAAATATTATAACTACATAAAATCATATTTTGACGTTTAGATACTAATTTTCCATTGTTCTAGTATAACATAGATTACGAAAATAGGAATGATCATTTAACTAGTCCATAATTCGATTGGGCACATAGCCAATATGCAATACGATCGAAAATTGAGGTTTGTATTACTGTCCATACGTCTAGAAAAATAAACACTCTTGTGTTGTAAAGAACCCACAAGTGAAAAATATAGTACTGTAGATATGGGATGTACTTAATGGAATAAGGATCTCCAGAATGTGCACCATTATTTCAATGACCTACTGGTATTCGGCTGAGGTTTCTTAACTTGCAACGCTAGGTTGAATCGTCTTCTGAATAGAGAAAGACACTCAATACATGTACATATGATTAGGTATTCCATCTCCAAATCTGTTTATTGATAATGATCTGTCTCCACGAACTCGCATAACAGTTGGAAGCCAAAAGCTAGTGTGACGAGTCTTCAATATTTTAGTATTATAATAAGCCTGAGCATTTCCCACACTGATCTGCGTGAGTGAATTTTGATCATTACTAGTTTATAAATGTTCATTCCTTAGCGGTAGCCTTAACAAATTACTTGAATAATAAAAGTTTGCAAGCTTTACCTTATTCCAACGCTTATTTGGTTCGGTTATTGCTTACATGGATGCTCTGTGATTAATATATAAAACATCGCACATTCGTCGGACTATAACATTGGCCATAGAGATTTCTAGTATATAAAAAGTGGAATCGAAATACACAGTGAACGTGGATAACAAGGAGGGCCGGTGAAATGTGAGTCTTTCCTTAATCATACTGTAGGCAGACCACTGGACGTCAAAAACCTTAACAATCCCTGTCAAGGCCAAGAACAACCAACGCTCATAATCAATAACATTCCATAAATCCCCCCATTCATAAATGGTTGCACTCTGTTCCTTGAGCCTATTCTTGCTAGTGCATTTCCGTTTTATCATTCTGTTCGTTGCCAGAGAAGCCACAAAACCTGTGTCACGATTGAGAATAATTTACGTCATATATAAACCGGATGGTGTAACTTTGACGTAAGATAAGAAGTTACAACATTACCATCCAGCTCAATTAGACCACCATCAGTAGCACGTTTATCAACAACCATATTCCAAGCATTCCAACTAGCATAGGAGAAGACCATTCACTGGTTGGGAAAATACATAAGCTAACTAGTTAAGTCAGTGTCAAATAAAAACTCGACAACATGGTTATTCATTATGTCCTGTAATTCGCTAGTCAGGATACTGAATATTTCACCCGTGCCAAACAGAAAATCAATCTATTATCAATCGTAATGGTGATCAAGGAAGCTTTATTAAGTTCCACAATCCAAAGTCTAATAGGTTTCTGATGCCATTTACTATTTTTTAAGTTAAGTGTATCTAAATCTTGAGTGGAATGTAGAAAGCCCGCAAGTGAATAAAACCATTTATCAAATTATCTAATCTCCATTAGATGGAAGATAACACAACCGGGTTTATTCCTATACATGCTAATGTATATGTTAAACATGAGCTGAATTCAACCTGCCCATTGTGTAAATGCAGTGACCCAAGTAATAATCTCAGCTATATGTGAGGGATCACAAATGAATATACCAAAGCGATCGAAACAAGTTTTGTGACATTTATTGTTACATGTGGACCCATCATTCAGTGAGGCTTCGAAACATTTACGATACAATATGCAGTATTTCTGTAATGGTCTCGTGAAGAGATGTGTACTCCTGAAAAATGTTCACATAGCCAGTAGAAAATTTATATCAGAGGTTTACTTCTCTTTTCTGATAAAAGAATTTTGAAGTAAACTCTCCAAAAATCCAGGTAAAACTACATTGTGATTGTTGGAATTAGTTTGTCTTTGAAGACAATATGAACGCGTTCTTAGTAAAACACATCAAGAATTATGTATGCAAAACGAAGAAAAATACAATAAAAGTTCGAATAAAAAACTGTTGTCAACCTGAACAGAGATGCGTGAACGTTGGGGACCCAATTTTACAATATAATCTGCTCTTGGTTATAACCACTCTGCTTGGCCAAGCTAGTAGTGTCAGCATACAATTCCGGGGGCCAAGAGGTTCCTCATCCATTTACCATGGCCTGATCAATCATTACCCAAACTGATGATATTAATGATTCCGTGTATAGTGAGTGCTTGACAACACTTTTGTCGTTAACACACTCATAATCAGAAAAACATAAACCCAGTCAAGCCAGGAGTCAGAAATGAAGTTCGCAGATATGTTTGCGAGTTATTTGATATGTAGTGGATTGTTTGACTTAATCTGTTTAGTTGTTGCAAGGGGTGCGTTGCACGCCATATCTAGTTACGTCCTGGCGCTCATGCTTAATGGAGTGCTTTTAGCTGGAGTGCCCCCAGTGAAGATGAATAGGTAAACGTTGAAAACGAAGACTCACGAAGCTGCTTTATTTCAAGGGTTTGTTTTCCGCTACTGTTCAAACACCCTTCTGGGGTATTGGTGACCATAAAACTTGACAGAATAGGAGTTAAGACTCGACGAGCAAGCCATTGTTAAATAATACAGCAGCGTCTATCGTCTTTTCCTACTCTGTGGAGTTGTAGTGTACAAAATAGCTCCAAAATGTTTCAAAATGAAAATGAAAAGATAAGTGCATGTCGAAATACATTTGTGCCTACGGAAGTAAGCCAAAAGATCAGAAAGTCAGCATAAAACGTACCTACTCCATGAGATGAGGAAAAAATTACACACGAAAAAGCTTTTTCAATTTTTTGAAAAGACTCATTTTTTTATGTTAAAAACACTACGATTAGTTTTCAAAAAAGTATATAAGTTAGGATTTTTAAAAACAATATTTCGTGGGGCTTTTCGTCCCTGACACAACAAAAATTGAAAACGCAGCCAGACAATAAAGGTCAGAGTGAATTGTCGAACTTCCACAAAGTGTTGAAAGTGCCTTACGGCACGACACACATTTAAGAAGTTTCTTTTAGAGGTACTATACCCTGATTCAGTGCCTTAAATTTGTCTCAAAAAGAATGCCAAGTGTCTGTAAGGTTTTTCGCGTATTGTTGTAGGATTCCTCCGACTGCAGAGTCGGGTTATATTAATGGGTGGTTTAGAACAGATATTTTTTATCGTAGTCGATTTAGATATACTTCCCATTGTCGATGATTTTGAATTTGTGTTTACACAATGATGATAATAAAAATTTATTCTCATATAACAGTCTGTTACGTGAGGCATACCAGTTTACAGGCAAGATCTAATTGTTACAGAAGATACTGTCTTCACTGTGGTGGGTTACTCAGTTAGCTTGATATTTTATAGGGCACATCGATCATAAAAGTATAGGGGATAATACTTCTTACGTGTGAATGCAAATAATATTAGTAGGATCCGTCTTGTCAATATGACAGTTGGCGCGCTTTATGGAGGTTGCGATGCGACGTGCAACTGACAGTAAATCCACGTAAATTTGAGACCTAATATAAACTGTAACCTTATATCCCTATGGAATATCTGAAGTACCTAATGGAGCGGGACGAAGTAACCCAATCCATATGCGTTATTAGTGGCATCGCTTGAGAGGGCTGAAAAAGGGCTTCTCTGTTAAGAGTGTCACGTCCAAGTTTTTGCTCGTTCCCGTTATTGAAGTACGGTATATCGATCTATTTGCAATTCACGAACCCAAACTAATAATAGAACCAAACTCTAATTTAGGTATCAAAGTTTGTTCGCAATTTACAAATAGTCGACCCAAATGTCGTTCTAATAACAATAATTATAACATTTGCAAAACAAACCTTCAATTTTGTAGGTTCTCGGAGCAAAAACCCCCAAATGCCAAACCAGAGACAAAGAGAAACCAAAATGTTCGAAATAATGATATAAACAAACAAGTTCAGAAGTAAAATAAATACATCCAAAAACAGTAAAATTAATAATATTTAATATAAAGGTTTTAATCAGTCAAATGTCTTCAGTTCTCCCGTAACAAGGAGTCCTGTAACAGACTCCAAATCTAGTGGGGAATGTTGATAAAAACTTACCAGGCGGTTGAACGTCAATAGCTGCTTGATTGTGGTTGGTTCTTGGTAACCCATAATGATCTCTCCTTTGTCTTTTCTTTATTTACATTCATTACTTACTTTAAGCATCAAAGCGTATAATCGAGAAACTAGACGGGGTCCATTCCGATCCGACATTATTAAATGTTTATTGTGTTCAAAAGTGATCGGACATAACCTACAACCAGAAAGTGTAATCCCACAGACAGACAATTTAGCATGTCCTCCCAAAAATCTTCGCTTGCACTTATCGACGGGTATATTATAGTGTTGTAGAAGATCTATGTCACTGACCGGCATAGAAACGCCTGTGACGACAAAAATCTAGTAAATGAGTCTAGGTAGACGAAAGCTAATGTTAACATGTTTTTACCGTGCGCAATGATCGGTTTTCTATTTGCCATCAGCAATTTGACGACTGTGGCTTGCGGACAATCATTAGTATTCGCGTGCCCCCTGTATCGACCAGATAGTAAACATTCGTACTTATGCCAGACAGCTACCGTTAATGCGTGCCGGTGAAAGACTTTCTTAAAAGCTTTTTGTGGAGGAAGCTTTGAATTAGTGGAAACTGTAGTTTCCTGTAATCTCTAGAAGATTAATCATTGATGTTGTGGTGCCAAAACTAATTTTGGTCATCTGTTTCTCGCGACAAGGAAACAAACGTTTTAGATGGCGCACTTCTTTGAGAAGCTCCAGGTCGCAAGCGACCACGATGAAAGTTTGTAAAATAAATGTGAGTATCACAGCTTCGTTTAGTGTTAACTAAGACTTCTCTGTGATAAAAAAAGTCGATAATGGAGGTTCTAGTGATCTTCAGAAGCCGATCAGCAGATACAGCCAGTTCATTTA